CACACCTTTTGTTGATCGAGTTTCAATGAGTTTGTGAATAGGACCATTTTACATGTCCAGCACCCCCTTGCCTAGATGCAACCGAGCAGCTTGGTCCTCAGGACATGATGCTTTACCTCGTGTGGGACTCGGAGGGCATCGCCGAGACCACGGACACAGTGGTTGAGGATTTGTTTGAAGCAGCCGAGGGGGGTTCAGACTCTGAAGGTTCAGGTGCCAAACCTGCGAAGAAGGACAAGAAGAGCACGAAGAAATCAAAGAAACGAGACAGGTCAAAGAGCAGCTCGAAGTCAAGCAGTGATGGTAGTTCCAGCTCACAGTCCAAGGTGGGACTTAGGGAGTTCTTGTGTCTTTTCGATCAGTCTATAATAGTATTTTGCAACTACAATGCAATGTTTATATAACATGATAGAAGGAAGCCACAGTTAGGTATAATAACAATATTTATAATACTTCTTGCGCCTGTACGCCCAGACATGCCATTGAATATAATCTAATTGCCAGTAAATTGCCCACCATACGTAATCAAGATCAAAACATACCGAGCCAGGTCATGACGTATAATTTCGTGATGTGGGACCCTGATTGCACTAGGTATAAACATGCCAGATCTGACTCTTTGCTTTCCCCCAAGTTTTCTATCCGACCTGCTGAACAAGCTTCTCTCGCTCCACGGTGAGGCAAAGAAGAAAGGCAAGAAAGGCAAGAAAAACAAGAAGGCCAAGAAGGAGACGAAAGAGCAGAGGGAGAAGAGGCTACAAAAGGAGAAGGACAAGGCGGAGAAAGAAGAGCAGCGCGCGAAGGATAAGGCCTTGAAAGAAATCTTCAACAAAGGGAAGAAGGCTGACGGATTCCTTTGGATTTCTTTGGATTGCCCCACGTGCACAGTGCAACCTGTTTTGTGGCCTCATCCATTGCTGGGTAAATATACATGCAGTTGTGTTGAACATGATTTGAACTCACCAATGGGTGCGATGTCCTCGAAAATCAACTTTCCCCCAACACACCACACAGTATTTTTACTAGTATTTTTCACTGATTCTCTTTCAGTCTTTGAGGACAGCTGTTTGGACTATTGTGAATTAAACAACCCAGTACTACCATGTACCATAGTTGCTACCACATTGGTGGCCCCAAGGAGATCAGGAGTTCTTGATTTATAATATATATATAGTTACTAATATCATTAGCTAATATTCCTGGAATTGAATGGTTGCATTGTCTTCATCCCTCACAGCAACTGCCCAGTCCATGGCCCAACTCAACGACAAGATCGTGGAGGCCTGCGGCAAGGAAAAGCTGTGCAGCACGATGCACCTCAAATGGCAAATGTGCAGGGGCCGGGACAGGCTCACTCCCACAAGATGATTTTGATATTTTCTGGGGATCCTGAAGTGGTCAGCGGCTTTGCCATTCGTGGCTGACAATCTGCTATTGATTTTTATAGGGCTTCATTGCAATGGATCAGGGAGTGGTGCAGCTGTAAGAAACCTCCTGTCCAAGATGTTCAATACCAACTGGTTTGCAAAGCAACTCATGCATTGTTTGGCACCTGAGGTCCTAGAGCATGTTGCAAAATGGTGCAATTCAATCCCGTCTGAAGGGCCATACATACGATCGGAAGCCCCTAATATTAACCCCCTTTGTTTGGGTTTCTCCAAATTTGTTCTGCTGTCCAACTAGCACATTGCCACGATGCACTTGTTCGCAAAACACAACTGCTGTATACATGTGCATGCATGCATCTTATTGAGGTATATCAGCAAATGCAACGGGTGTACGTATATTCTGTATTAACAGTTTCCAGTGGCTGGTGTAATTATACGACAAACCTGGCAGGTGACTCCAGTGTCATGGCTGTAATTCCAGAACCTTTGCTAGTGCGATTCGAGTGCATGCTCTCTCCATGCATATGAAGTGCGTGCAATTGTACCATTATTCAATACACACCCAGATATCGAAATGGCACACTGAACACAATTGAAAATGCAATCTTCACTTTTCTAGGTGGGTAACACATGCCCTAGTCAGTTGTTGAGTGAAAACTCTTCGATCAAACAATGATGAAACATGTGTTTTCTGCTAATTATTAGATCGATAGCTTTTAGGGATTGGATTTGCACACATCTAAATAAATATAAAACACACCTTGGACTATAAATGATACCGATAGTAGACTCTTAATTGAAATGCAGCTTTGCATGTTCCTTCGCTCCACTTCTGCAATTGAGTTAGTTGGGTATTATAGGTTCCATGTAACTTCCTCCAACAAGTGGCTCAAAGGAAACATGGGCTCATGAGGGTTGCTCATATTGAGCCCATGGGCACTCGATATGGTCCCAATACACAGTAGACACCCTACGGACCATGACCACCTCCCCTGCATCGCCAGCCCCTGGGGCCACCCATGGCTCACCAAGGAATCCTCAGTTGCAGGCGGTCATCTCGGTCGAGTTGAAGAAGGCCAAGAACTCTATGTGTGATCTACGCGGAAAGATTCAGAGGAAAATTGATACGTTTGATGTGTCTTGGATTGTGATTCAGAACTTAGGAAGCAGCTTCATTCTTGTTTGGTGTGTCTGGATTTGGGGAACCCTCAATGAGTGGAATCATGCATAGTTAATGATCCTATCGCGAACCAGATACGCTGCCCTTCATGAAGAATCTATGCACCACATGACTATTAGGGGATCACTCAGCCCTTACGAGTTGCCCTGAGAAAAACATGGGACATGGTGAGTCGGCGCTGTTTTCCATAACTATTTACAAACTGTGAATGATCCAAAAATAGAAAGAAGCTGCTTTCGAATCGATCGATATTTAATATTTTTATACTAGCTACTATACTCAAGCAGCTTGTAGTCGATTCTTCCTGAGAAGCCTTTCGCCATCGCAGTAGAAACTGGTCCAAACCTGGCAACACAATGACTTGCCTTATCCTAGGAGACTGGCCTGGAGGACCTCAATCAGAAGACAAAGGATGTGCTTGAGGAGTGGCAGTCTGTGGTCACCCGTACCAATCTCAAGTGAGCCAAGAGCTATGCATGGGCATTTGGCACATGCAACAATTGCTGTGGTTCGCGGTGCTTTGTTAGTGGTCACTGCCTGGAGGGGAGCCACTGTGCAGGTCGCCACCGTGAATTATGAACACACAAACAAACGTTAAACAAACAAAGAAATCAACATAGGCCATAGGTGTTTAATGCTTGATCATAGATCTGTTTATTGTTCTGTGAGAGTGTGATATGTTGCACTGTTGTTTGGTGGCAAAACTGCTCAGCTCACAGGGGGGGCCAAGCTAGTGATCAATCATGGCAACGCGTTCTTGCCACAGGGGGATGCTTCAGAAGCGATATCCCTTTTTTGACAGTGCTGCCCGATCGTCCTAATTTACATGGATGGAACCGATTTTTGGATTGCTGTTCGAAGTCTTACTGCACTCACCAGAGAAAATTTGGACATACATCGCGATCACAGTAGTGGAAACGGTGCATCCTATATTATATTATAATACCTCAAACCAAGTTATTCTGGGTTCTATCTTTCTGGCCTCTCCACTCTGGATTGATCAGAGATTACCTCCGCCTTGTTCACATAATTTGTGGGACTCTGCAAAGCCCCGCGCAGGTGAAGGTGTTGCTGACGCCCCATCGAATGTTCTGGCCAATTCTGTGCAGGATGTTTGCAGTGGAGCCTCTTGGATTGGCATACTTGGTGGTTCAAATCACCAATATGTCCAACACAGGCGCTACTTAGTTTTGACATGTGTAGGTATATATATTGATGGACTATGAAATAATAAATAAGATGTAAATGGTAAAAAAAATCAACATCCTAGATCCTGCTATTCTTGCATGAGGTGACGATGACCATTTCAGCCCTCTTTGTGTGTGTGCATGTGTGCTTCTTCGGGGTTTGCATTAGACTGCAACTACCCAACTCTTAGGGTTTGCATTAGACTGGATTTCATCGATATGAATGAATCGATCATCAGAAAAAAGACGGTACTGGTCGATATAAATATTCGTGCGATACTTCATGCGATAACAAGTTCGTGAGGTGTGAGATCCCTCCACCCCTGTGACAAACTGCGAACTGCGAAATCTAAGGGCAGCTCTGTCGGGAAGGCCATGCGGAACATCAGGGCACATGTGGCTGAACCTCGGTCGCGTGAGCGAACTCCAGAAGATTGTGATCATGTGTGAGGATCCTTGTTGGCCAACATCCCAAACATGATCGACCCAAACATGGCACATGCTTCAGGTCCACCTACACCGGCCCTATAATGCATACATGTGCATAGGTGTCACGAAGAATCACAAAATATCACAAAGGAAAAACACTATATATATATAACGTTGCCAGGACATTCACTCATGATTCTCAAGTTATGCAAGTACCGAGCTAAGGACTCTCATGATATAGTTGCACACCCTTTGACGCGAAAATTGGGGCTTCTGTCGAAGGACAATGCCTCTCGGGACTGGTGGCGGCTGCTTGACAAAGGTCCTGACCCTTGACTGGTATACACCTTGGGTAAATGATATCATAATTATAATATATATATATATCGGTATTGCAAACTATATCGGTATTGCAGGTGTACCCTCGTTGGTGTCCAAGAGTCATGGAAAAGAACTGGTGATTTGGTCTCCATCCCAACAAATCAAAAAAGCTGGGGGAAGTGAAGGGCAAGTCCTTCGTGTGTGGAAATGGTTTACCAAAACAGCCGAGATTGGGGTATGTCATGTGGCCAAACCTTTGTGACTGTTTGTGACTGTAAACTTCACGAAGCTACGGCCAGAAAACATGCATTTGGTTAATTAATTAAGACCTGCACAGCACTGTGCCCTAAGCTTGTTGGTCCATGTCATTGATTTTGCACAACCTGGTTCAAAGTGCATAGTAAGAGATGTTCATTTCAACTTTCCTAATGGCATCGACATGGCTTCCATGGAGAAATACTGATATCGACGTATATCAGGGCTAAGCCGGCCTACATGGTTCAATGGAAAACTGTTCGATCTTTGTTTGCCATCAGAGTAGTCCATGATTGCATCCTTTTTGAGCGCATATATGCTATAATAAAACTATATATATATTTAATATACACATGCATATTGTATTTGTTTAATAGCACAGGCCAACGAGTTCCATTCACTGCGCGTGGGTGCGGCGATGAGGAAGTTCAATATATCCGGATCCCTGTGAAGTTCAAGGATGCAAATGGCAAAATTGTTGTGCATGTTGACAGCTGGCCCATCATTGACGTGCATTCTATTATGGCCTTTGCTTTCGAAGAAGCTGGGATTGAGATCCCTACATCTTGTATTCATGAGTATTGGCGTCGTTCTTGCGAGTATGGGGAGCCCTTTGCGCAGGATACGTCCAACCACCACCGAGTGCCAATCGGCCTGTATGGTGATTCAGCCAAAGTGCGCACGACATTTGGCTCTGAGAATGTCATAGCCCTGTTTGCAAACCTGGTGCTCTGGAGACCGAAGTCTGTTAGGTGGAGCCGATTTCTTCTTTGCTGCATTCCTGAGGAAAGATGTACAAGCCAAACCCTTCCTACAATCTTGAAAAGGATTGTTTGGTCTGCAAACCATGCATGGCATGGGAGATGGCCAGGACAAGACCTACATGGAAGAAACCTTGGAGGCAAGGCGGCCAGACTGGCTGGGAAACCTTTGACCAGTCAGTTTCACACCTTCCAAGTTGTGGAGCTGCGTGGAGACTGGGCGTGGCATAAGAAGGTGATGAAATTTTGGCGGTGCAATTGGAATTCACTGGAAGACACATGTCCTTTTTGCCCGGCCAAAATCCAGAGTGATGACTGGAATGATTTGTACTGGAATCCTGACAGCACTTTGGAAGACTTCACCTTGGCCGGATTTCTGGCAAAGAGAATGCCACCTCGTGGAATAAGTGCTTTGGCTGCTCAAACGCCTATCTGTTCCCAAGTTTGGTGAGTAATAAGAATTCTGTTCTTGCAGGTTGGTAGGTCAGGCTAGATGACCACAGGTGATGACCAGGCCGAAGGAATTCTGGGTCTTTGTTGGGTTGCGTTGCTGTCATGATCAGCTCCTGCTGAATTCATGTTGAGGCCCTCTAGTTGGCTTGAAGGGCTTCCACCCTTCCATCATTCGATGGTGTCTGATGCATGCCCTGCATCTTGGGCTGCTATACACGGCAAATGGTGGGACAATGCCACTTGCATGCATGCATTGTTGCTTGCTGCATGCATGCGCACGTTGGGCAAACAGGTGCTTTGTGATTCAGTGCCACTTAACTAGAACCACGAATCATACACATGAACTGATTCGAACTGCTTTTAGTTCATCAATGTGTTTTGGAAGACCTGTGAGTTTGCCATGATCAGGAATCTCTTGGTCAAATGTTGCTACTGGGCACCTGCAGATGAGCCCACCCGAGTTCACTTGCACCGGGCCTACATTGATTTCAAGACCTGGTGCGTGAGGAAGCGGATCAACTGCAGCCAGCCGGCCTTCAAAGAGAATCTTGTTCCTGGGCAAGATCTTGGATGAAGCAACTGTTCGTTGTATCCAGTGAATGGCATTGCCTTTTGAATGGTAGTTCTAGCAGGATTGATTGTCAAATCACATATCGTGTGTGAGCTGAGTTGTACCTCAAGACTGGGGATATTCGATTGCTGTGCAAAGCCTACAATGGGCGTTGCGTAGCACAGTGGCTTGCTGAGACTGTGGCAGCTGCAGCTCAGGATGCCCAGTTCCAAGCAGCTGATGCCACGAACACCATAGCTGTGGTCGCTGTTACAATGATTTTTGGTGGCAAATGTTAACTGGTAACATGGTACAGTGTTTCTTCTTCGAGCTTGTCCACTAGATGCATCATGTTGATGCAAAGTTTGGGGTTGCAAGGGCTCACTGGATGACACACCACATTGCACTGCATGCTGTGTGTGTGTGTCCACCGCTGTTCGTTGGCAATTACCACAACACTGCTACACCACTGCTGTGTGCATGTGTCTACACAGCGCGCTGAACCAAGTCTAAATGGGATTTTTCCTGTGTGCACATTGTATTATATTACATATACACATGCATATTAGCTAGTATATTATATACAAAGAGGACTATCATATATATATATATATGAAACACATAATAAGGCAGTGGTGCACAGCTAGCCCCACATCCAAAAAGTCATTGGAGGCCTCACTAGTTTTTCACCATAGTTATGAAGTCCATCCAGGTTCCCTGAGAGCCAAGCTGAAACCATGATCTGAGGCTGCATCTTGTCCGCTTCATTCATGGCATCGAAGGTGGTGGTCGCTTCTTGACCCCTGCTCTAAATCATTGTAGACTGATCTGAACTGCTGTAAAAAAACTTGGGGAGTTAAACAGTTTCAAACATAGAGGACTGACAGCAGGGGGGATCGCATGCTAGTTGCTGGTTGTCACCGGTAATGATTGGTTATAACATGTTTTGGACCTTTGAGATCAGACTGAGATCAGAAACATGTTTTTGGATCTATGCAACCCAAGGAGTGAGACCGAATCTCGTGCGATTCACGATGATGGCATGGCCTATATTCGTGGTCACTTGCGATTGGCTCAAATTGCTTTGAGGCCACTGGTCGTACTGGTCGTCATCGTTTGTTACAATGTATACATGTATATACAGGTATACATATACGCGCGAGGCTCTATAGAGAAACTGATCGCAATTTGAGTTTGCATCTAGCTCATATATATATGTCAATTTAATTCGGACCTTGGGTAAAACAATGTATATTAGCTAGGCACTCTGCTGATCGTGGATTAATGCTGCACTTTGATCATGGTTCTGGCATGTTCTGGCCCATTCTGTCCAGAACAGTTCAACAACACCGCGTCCCAGGCAAACGCGGAAAGAGTGGTTTGTGATACCAAAACTCCATGTGCCTATTCTGCACTATATGCATGCATGGTTGTCTGATGTACGATCTTTGTCTCTTGTCATGTGGCACGTGGGGCATGGACTGGATGCTCCATAGGTCCAATGGCTAATTATGATATATATATATATATGCTCAGCTAAGGTTCTGAAGCACCTGTGCAAATCAGTTCTGAACAGAAGAGCCCTATCAGCAGTTACCAGTTTTCCATTCTATGCAGTTACGACTTAATTCATTTGCATGTGCTATTTGAATCGGGTGTGGTGACTATCCACTGATCTGCAAGCCATTGTGAAAGTGGGTCATGGTACGAGGAAGCAATCCACGCTTCTACCATTGCTTCCAAGACGAGGATGCAATGCTATGGACAAAACGTGTTTTGGACAGAATTAATTAATGAACTTATATTAATTGCAGTTTTCAATTCCGGTGTTTGCACACCTAAGCAGTTCCAGTAGATTGTGGTCACCTGTTTTGTTTGACATGTTCTGACCCAGTTGCAACAAATACCACTCAGGAACCTATCTCCAAGGGCATGCCTTCAGGAAATCTGCCTGGGTCATGCGGTGTGGCAGACTCCGGACACTAGGCAGAATGTTTTGTACATCCATGCATGCACACACATCCATCAATCAGGTAGAACATCCTTTAGAGGATCCATGCAGTTTGTCACAAAGGACCTTATTTGGTGTTCAAAGCTGCATGCATTCCCCACCGAGGATTTGGGCCACCAAACTTAAGGTGGACGCGTTACTTGTCTCAATGCCCTTCAAACACCGTTCGTTCGTTTGTTTAAAAGTCGTTCGAGTGAAGCTGATGTTCAAAACGAGGAGCTTGTGATATGCTAATCATGACAGTGGCCCCTGACATTGTGCGCATATGAGTCTATGTGTGGCTAAGGTTGAACCGATCTGTGCGGGCACGCATGCGTCGTGGAAGGGGCTGAAAAAGGATTATGTGCTACAGTGGGAGGGCGAAGCACTTCGAACACTTGATTCTTCAATCTTGATGATCGGATCTCAAGAGCTATCGACTATTTCAAAACCCATCGACTATTTCCATAATAGGCTTTGCTCGAACGACTTTTAAAACAATAGGCTGTTGAAGGGCAGGGTAACACTCCTTTTACCAAACAACCACGCTGTGTCTTTCTGCTCAAAACGAGGCATCACCATCCCAGCGATATCCCCGAGCGATCCTGCGGTGCCCAGCGATATCCGTGCGTTCGTACTTCTTGGCCCAACTGGCAACAAAACGATCTGTTGGGGTGGTGACTTTGGAGTGTCCCACATCTTCCTGTGGTGTCCCACAGGTGATCGGTTCCGACGGAAGCTGAACACGACCCCATCATCCACTGGACCCAGGGAATGCGAATATATACCCAAGGAAGCCATTCCATATACGCGGATACATGTACAACAAAATGCAAGAAAATAACATGGAATAGCATTGATTCATGAATTGTCTACTAAAACCACCCCGACGGCCGACGGCATATGATGTATCCATGACAGATTCTTTCGCTTCGGTGTCGAGCAAGGCAACTGTCCGGCCGAGCTCGTCCACGTCTCAGAGGCCACGGACCCCCTACGGTCGACCGGCCGACCGGTCGCGGGATTCGGACGTGGGGGGAAGGGTTCGGAGGTGTTTTTGGGCACCTTGATGAATCTTGATGATTTCAATGATTTCAGAGTTGGTTTGCACATGGTTCAAGCACCCTGTTCCAGTTCACGGTGATTGAACACGCATGGCGTTTCGACGTTTGTGGATGTTCTCCCGTGTCGCGAATCGCTTCGGATCGCAGTCCTCAGCTTCGATATCGCAGTACACGCTCCTGAGCAGACTGGGAGAAGGACGCAGGGGGCATTCGTAGAAAAGTCTCGGAAACCACGAACACCGTAGCTCAATGGCCCCTGTCAAAAGAAGCGTCGATTCGTCACCGAAGACTGGCTGTTGGAACAATCGGCCAGCTGCATTCGCCATCGCTTCGCAGTTGGAGAACTGAGATACAGTACCCAGACACTCCACGTATATTTAATTTATGCCTACATTGACCCCCAAAACCACCCCAACTGATTGGACCACCCGGAGGATCCCAAACCTCGCACGAAGCAGCAAAACCCAAATACTGGGGATTGTTAGAAGGTGCTACGACTTCTCCAATTAGGCTCCACCGATGGTAGAAGTAGTGGCTCTTTTACTTCTCCAATTGGTGCTACTAATTGGTTCTCCAAGAGCCACACCGAACCACCCAAGCTAAAAGATGAATGGAGAACCAATTAGGCTCCACTTGCATTTTCAGCGGTGGGCGACGACCGCGCTGCAGGTGCAAAAGCAGCACCGCTTCCGTAAAGTGGGGGACTACCGCTGGCTGTTTGGGCCTCAAGTGAAAGCAAGTGTGGCGGTTGGACACGCCCACGGCTCTGACGTGATGGGCAGAGAAGAAGTTGGGTCCCATGTTGAAGAAACACCCATTGGACAATTGGACGCTTCCCCCGGGCATGTCAACCCACGATGTTTCTTCTTTCCTATAAAACCATATAAAACCTATGTCCATGCCTATGTCCGAGGATCCGGCCGAAGCACCGGTTTCCGGTGGGCCATCGTTCGTGGGCGTTTGGAGATGCGGGGGCCTTCGTCCTCCCACATCTCCTCCAAAAGCACACACACGGAGTGTAAAGGAGTGTGAAGTTGAATACAAAGCCTTCAGGTTCCACTTCCACCTCTGTGATTCTGCGATCCCATTTTTTTTCATAAATCAATCCGTCGATCTGTCCCATGAGACCACTCAGTCTGACGTTCCGAGACTCCCCGCGCCGAGTCCGACCTCGAGTGCTGAGGATTCAGAGCGATGCTCGCCTGGATGGATTCCTCATTCGCAATGTGCCCCGGAACGTCCAGCGATACGGATTTGAGCGGAACATGGCACGGTTTCCATGGCGCGTTCAGTTCGGTTTTCGCTTCCAAGAGGAACGCGGTTGTGGTGTTGCTGCGGAATATCATGTGTTTGTAGAGGGGTTCAATGGCTAAACGATCGGGAACACGGGAACAGTGTGAAATCGGCAAAAAACATCAGATGTTCAAGGGAAGACTGACGGGATGAAGATTCATACCAAGTCAGAAGAATCCATGACATCCTTTGCATCCTTGTCCACTGCAGATGGCAGCTTTGGTGTTATTGCTTGGCCAAGAAGGGTTAGATTCTGCCGAAGCAGACTGAAATTTCGGCCGAGTACACTACTGTGTATATTGTATATATACACTATGCTTATACACTTACAGCACAAGATGGGCAAGCAACAACCAGGAGGCATTGTTTTACTATTTTTAGGCACTAAGTGATTGGATAGTGGGCACCCCTATCCTCCAATAGGCACCCCGTTGGAACTATTGGAAGTATGCATTTATCAGGTCATGAACTTTTTTGAGCCACGCGCCTTTCGCGTGTTGCTTGAACCCAGGACCATCATCCTCGCCGCGCGCTTGTAGGCACCTTCTGCTCGGGTGGGCGGAACAACGCTATGCGACGCTGCACACACAAGGGATAGACCTGATGAGCCGGTGTGACACGGGATCCTGCACACCATCCCATCCGGATTTGTTGCCGATGTTTGGTAAAGCGATGCAAAGCTGTATGGCTGGGAGACCGAAAGAGATTGGCCAATGAATAGGCTGGGCGTGCTGCACTGTACTCATTAGCATTCAGCAGCCTCGGCTTGACGCTGCTGGACTTCTATCGCTTCTATGGGTAGCTGTTCGTTGAACAATCAATTGCATTAATTTCAGAGCAGCTTGCCAGACCTGCCAGACGCAAGGGGGGGTGATGTTACAACTTCTATACGTTTGAGGTTTGTGTCATCAATTCTGAAAAACGATTGGGGTTAGTGGGAGGAAAAAAAACCTACTGAATCGTATTGAATCGTTTATATTCTAACTCAAAACTCAAAACCTATTAATTAATGTTTGCTTGCAACAAGGACTTGGTGCTTCGAGAGCTCCTTTGTGCGACGTGAGCATCGGGCCAATCTGTACTCTTTTTGATTTGTGCTCAATCTGAGAATTGCAGCATGAACTGCGATGAGATGGACTGAAGCTACCTACACATTCCTAGGGGGTTCCCCGACGGAATATGCCAAGATACTCCATGTGTAAATGCTCCTTTTTGCTTGGATGGTGCTGCCTGCTAGAAGTTGTGTGCGTGTGCGTTTTTTCCAGAATTCCAGACCGCAAACTGGTGAAGCCAGTGGTGAAGCCTTCTCTTTGGACGACCCTGGGCGAAGCTTCGAAGCTGGCCATTTACTCTGAAACCACTGTGAACCACCAATCTTGGGGATTGTGCCTACTCTCAACCCATTATAAGCCTTAGGACCGGGTCCTTAGGATTCCATTACACTGACGAAACCACTCCGAAAATAGATGAAAAGGTTTCTCCAATATGAGGACGACTCTCCCCAGTGCATCGGACGTGTCGACCTTCACGAGGGCCGCTACCGGTCCGACGCGACGGGACGGAGGAGGACTGTCCGACGGTCAGGTGGAATCCCCTTGAGATTGGAGGGTGCCAATAAATCCGACGCCAACCAGCGCTGGGTGCTGGGAAGCCCGAATTCGCCGAAGCGCGCCGAATCGGTCAGGGGTGGGTGGCTTGTTGTTTTCCAGGGCGAGGTGGATGTCTTGGAACAAGTGCAGGGTTTAGCGCTTTTTCAAAATCGATCGCAGAGGTCCAGGCTGATCCTTCCGGCTATCAAAGCTCTGGCGACGTGTCCTTCCACTCCGGGCGTAACTCCGAGGGCCGGGAACTCCCTCAACAAAAACTGACCCTAGGGGTCCAGGACCATCCTGAGGATGTCCTTTGACCCGCCAAGACCATTCTCTGGAAGTACTTTCAGCTCCAAGACCATCCTCAGGAGGTACCTGGATGCTATGGGTGAAGAACCCCCTCCGCAGTTGGAGAACTGAAACTCCTCCCCTTAGGGATTTGGGGCTCGGCAGTCGGGTCTGGAGCTGTCTCCACTGCCCGCCCTGAGGCTGTGCTTCCCGAACGACTCGCCGGGGATCCATAAGCCCTTCCTGATCCGAAGTGCAGGGACGCCCTGGGACATCCGATCGCCCTGGAAGGGGAGAGAGAATCCTGAAGACAATGCGATGGACCCTGAAGATCCACGGGTTGGTAGAGGAAAAGCAACCTTTCAGGGGGTCCATTGTCAGGGTACCACGTGAGTTTTACAGGCGAGTAACTTTGCTTGGCTTTGTGGAACAGTGGACCACGCTGCGACTGGAAGACAATGGTGTGGAAGACCTGAACTCGGTTTTACCAGGTCGGTGTTCATGTGTTCCTTTTCGTGCTGCTTGGACCTCTTAAATTTGAGGATATTTGAGGAGTCCAATGGTTCAGACCACCTGAAACAGCTTGGACTGGGTGGACACATTGGACACATGCTTTTAGATCCTTTGTTCATGTCACAGTAGCACAACTCCACTGGACCGGTCAATGTTTCGGCCTTTTCCCGTGGATTTCTTTCGAGAAGGGTCCACGTTCTAACGCGCTTATAACGAATGTGCCCCAAGAGGTCCAGCCGGTCGCCGCCTGCGTCCGGTCGCCCCTCAGGTCCAAAGTGGCATGTACTTGGTCGTGGAGGAGGCACACCAATGCGTGATCTTGCAGAAGGAGAGCGGGGACAGCGAAGATCCGAGGGTTTTCAATGGACTGACCAGTTCCGGGACATGCTCACCGCTTTCACGTCAGTGGTTTTTCATTCGTGCTTGTGACCCATGGCGTCCCTTGGCCCTTGGCAATGTGATTTGCTCATATTTGTTCGATTTGTTTCGCGTTGATCACTCATTCTGCAGTCCAGCCTCCGGTGTTAACGGCGCATATCACTGTCGACTTGAGTGAGCCCTTAGTAGAGTCATTGGATCCAAGATTTATTTAACAAGTTCCACATTGTTTGGGTTTGGTGGTGCATTTGGTGTGGATGTGCGATTGATATGATACGTCTTTGGTTAAGCTGTTTCGCTTGGCTTGTCCCTTGGCTAAGTAGTTTTGCTGACGACCGCTGACGAGATGTGCCCCCCCTGCTGACGAGATGCTACCAGTTCCCTGAGGTGGGAGAGATCCGTGTGGTTATAGTGGGTGGACAAGAGGTCTTTCTTTTTGATCCACACTCCCTGTAGAAGTCCAAAAGACATCAAAAGACCATCTTTGGCACCACTGAAGTACAGGACATGCCCGGAATTTGGGGATCACCAAAGTCGCAGACCATGCTGAGACAGCATGGTCCAACTGGACGAAAAGCGACCGCTAGCTGCTAGCTGCTTCTTCACACGTCGCATCTCCAGGATGCACCTCAACAGTTCTGGCAGATTCACGATGCCACGCGCCGGGCGCGGCACTCGGATGGTCCAGGGGCCGACGAACGGAACGGCGTAGACGGAAAGGGGGGGGGAACAGTGTGGGTCCGCACCGTTCAGAGAGTAGAGACATGTAGAGACTGATGATGCAAATGGATTTGAAGGAGTAGAGCCTACCCAGCCGGTGCAAGAGATAGGTGGAGATGTGATGAGCTCGATGTGTCGAGCTCGCTCGATGTGGAGAAGAAGCACATAACCGGACTTTTGATTTCGTCTCGACATGACTCGATTCGACCCCCTTTGGATTGAGGTCCCGGGAGGTGCCAGGTCCCGGGAGGTGCTCGCTTCGGCTTGTGAATCAGCACCACCAACGGCAAAACTCGTGCACATACTACCGACACCTAAATCACTTGCGCCTAGTAATGCCTAGTATATTTATGAAGGTGGGCAAGTTAAGCAACGGGTCTAGAGGTTGCTACACTGTGCGGCACTGGTCTCTCGGCCTTCACTGATGGAATGATTTGGGCCGTCCAGACGGCCCAAATTGGGCGGGATGACAATCAAGTGTGGAGTGTGGAGCTATCATGACCAGTGGCAAATCTATACCTGCATGAAGCATGCCATGCACCACAAATCATGTCCCATTCGCTTGGTGCGGGAGTTGCCACGTTTGAGAGGCAGATGCCTTCATTCCGACAGCCCCTTGGCGCAGACAGTGGCACACTGTCACGTGTGGAGGAAATAAGCCACCCTGCAAAGAACAAACATCATTTTCCCGCCTGTATTTTGACACAGTCTACGGTTTTGTCCCTGTCCTTTTTAATTGGGTGTTTTACTATGTTTTAATGATGCTTAGATTGAAGTCTGCACATGAAATAGGAGCACAGGTCGATGATGCTGACCCAAAAGATCCAAAGCTTTTCACCACGGCAAAGATATTCAGAAAGACTGTTCAGTCCTCAACCATGATAAGTCAAAGTGGAACAGGACGATCATTGCCGATGACGTCGACCAAACAGCAAATATGAAGAGGTGCCAAGTTGTATTTTAGTTTTGAGTACTTTACAATTCGCAGTGTTAAAACTGGAGGCTCATTGTCATTGTTCATCACTTCAATGCATGATAATTTCTTGAAGGCAGCATTTCTTGAAGGCTTCATGGAAGGTGTTTTTGTTTTCGTTGTCCCTCAGGAATCGTTGTTTCCCTTGTGGCCAAACAGCTGATAGCCTTAACACAGTCAGGTCAAGCATTAGCACAACCCAAGCGACTCACATTGCAATCGCCATGGGACAAGTTGGCTGGAAGGGTCATATAATATATTTGCATGATGCAATCACTTGTCATATGCCTGATTCAACTGGCCTCATCTCCTTTTGGGTTTGCGCCAGAATGCGGCCCCCCTGGGAAAACCAAAGCCCGAGAAGCTTGGTACCCAAAGTTGATACTGTGGTTTGGGGGGGCCCCTGGGTACGTAGCACTTGCTCAAGTCATGGAAGCTGTGACAAGAAAGCGCACAGCTCACCTAGCATAAGATCATCTAGGCCTAAGCCTTCAAAAGGACCCCCAGAGGTGGTTGACCATCGTGGCCAAACGGCGAGGCGTTCTGTTGAAGGTCACATGCCCGCCCAGCTACCTGAGTAAGCCCCAATAACGGGTCACCAAAGGTTTCTTGTTTGCTTTTTGGTGCCCCAGTGCCCTACCTAGCAGCTCTAGCAGATGTCACCTTAAGTCAAGCAGATCACACCTACCTCACCTAGCAGATCTCACCCTACCTCGCAGCTCTTTCCATCCCATGGCTCGCAATGTCGGCGGCCTGGTGACCGTGACCGTGCTTTCCGCGCTGGGTTTGGTGTTGTTATACCGGTCCAAACGAAAAAAGGCAGAGAATGGGGCGGAGATGCTCGGTGAGACTGACATGATGAACAGTTCCATATTGGTGGCAGTTGTGAGGTCATTATGAGGTATATAAATATATATACTGTATAGTTTACTGTATATCATGATGAATCGAGCATCACAAAAGGTGCAGTGTAGTTCAGGAAGGTGGCCCCCAACACAAAAGGTGAGTTCGTTTCTTTATCATTCACCTCATTTCAACTGGCTCGCCCCTGACCTAAAATCAGAGGCAAACGGAAGGGTAGTGCACAGAAAGGGTTTTGCAAAATCCTATTCTACTAACATCGTGGAAGGCGCGGGACATTCGTAGAACACAAGGCTATTCGTGGACAGTTCGTGGAATGGTGGGCCAGTAGGAAAACTGACTGCAACGAAATCCCAGAAACCTTCGCAGAACTTCGTGGAAGGTATTTTTGATGCACTAACTTCGTAAAAGCGATTTTTGCTGACCCCCTTTCTCCACACACCCTCCATTTAGCCTTCATAAAAGGCCTCCCCTTTAGCCGCTCTAGCCTTAATGAGGCGCTTCATACAGAAGATGACTCCCAAAAGACCTTCCTCAAAATCATTCTCCAGACCCAACACGCAGGGTTGTGGGTCAAAATACTTTACCCCTCTGGATCTTCCTTCAGATTGTTTGGGGGGTGTTAACTTATACATGTGGCTTTTGTCGTTGTTCTTTTGCCTTCAGGAAAGAGACCGAGCAGGACTCCAAATCCAATTGGACTGGCGCGACCCACAATGGCACCAAGCACAACGGCACGAAGCACAACAGCGTGAGTTCGGGCCTGCGCTGTTCAGCACGGACGGAAGAGGGGGGAGGATGTGAACATAGACCGTGGACAGAAGCCAAGATAAACAAGAACCGTTTTGTGGTCTTCCCGTGACCCTGTTTGTTGTTTTTTGATTTGTTTGGGGGTGTTTGTTATATAGACATAAAATGTGTGAGCAACCACTTTTATTTAGGCTTTACTTACTAAAGTAGTCTACGGCATGCTCTATTTGCTTGTCTATCATCAGTAATCGCTTGTGAACGAGATAGGGCCCCCCACACAAACGAGATACTTTTGTTTGATGTCACTAACGTAGTCTGAACGAGATAGTGTGATTTGCTACTAAAGGAGTCTGAGCGAGATACTGTGACATGACCTCCTGCTTAAGTAGTCTAAACGAGATAGGGCCCCCACATAAGAGATAGTGTGTTTGAGCCAAGTACCAAATAAATGCTGTCGCACATATATATATATATATATATGTGTGTGTGTGTGTGTGGATCTAGACAAATCCAGGAATCCCACAATTGTTGTTGCTGTTCAGTCCGGTAGATGGAACAATCCAGTAGATTCCGGTATAGATGTTGTTTTGATCCAATTTACAATTTTGCTGGTGTGTTTGCACATGCTCCACATGCTGATTCGAGCTCGCCTCATTCAGCTTCGACTTGGGAATCATCAGTTGGAATACCCAGACCTCACTTTCTCAATGTTTCGACTTGTGGCTTCAAATGAGGAGAGACAGTTCATCGCCCTTAGCCCAGTCTGGATGGATGGCGCGTCCAGCGGACGCTACCTGCGAGGAACTTCGCTTCGCACAGCCTATGGCGCTTTGGCACCACAAAACCGACCGAAGATAGCTACCCCAGGGGCACAAGGTTTAGTTTGTTCAGCCTCGTCAGGATTTGTCTTCAAATTGGATATATCTATATATATATATATCCTTTATTCTAGGCTTCTTAAAAGATTTAATGCAGGGGCAAAAGGGAGCGCATGGGTGAGAGAAGAGTGTGTGACGTTCTTGTAATGAGCAATCCTCAATACCTTCCAGTCACTACAACTTGCATTGGCACACTGTTCCAATATTTTCTATCTACGTGGGGCCGCCTCTAATGCTTTCCCTCCCATTGCCGCTAGCCCCTCTTTCGGCATGCTTTCCTCGGTACGTTGGATCACCACCAAACCCCCAGGGCACCCCCAGTGACCGTCCCGGCCAGAACTCACTCGAGTGATTGTTCCGGCAAAAAAAACGCTCCCTCTCTAACCCAGACACTCCATGTATACACCTGAGAAACAGTATGTTCATTTGTTTTGTCATACGGCATTTGACCATTTTTTTTGGTCATTACGGGGTTTGCCCAAATACAGGCATATACGGTTTCCTCTCTTGGCTCAATAGGGTACCATATTCGGGTGATCCAACGCAGTATTCGCACTAGTATGTTGGATTTTGTTCAATAACATATTGATAAGACTAGTATCATACGGGTACCCCCAAATATGCATGCAAATATGGCCAGTATACGCCATATTCGTATACAGTTCCCATTCATACAACATGGAGTCCCCCAGAGAGATGTCCGTGCCCATATACGGCATATATGCACAAAAACGGTCAATACGGCTCGAGGCCATAGTGATTAAACAAAAGTGATCATATGGGTTTCCAGGTATATATATATATATGCACATACATGCCTACATTGACCCCCCAAAGCACCCCAATGTAGGCGTATAATGGCAGTCCCATGGAGCGTTTGGGTCAAAGGATCGCGGTTTGAACCGCGAGGCACGGTAGGCACGCCGCCCTTTCCAGCGAGGTGGGGCGGAAGTCACCGAGTCACCCTCCTAAGACCCCTTTGTTGTGAGTGGATGTTGAGGGGCACAGCGCCTCAGCCAGGGCCTCCTCTAAGAAACGAACCCGACTCTTGGAACCTGACTTGATAGACTTGAGGTGACATGAGTTGAAAAAGGTACATATCTGCTTCGACTTCTCGCCTGATTTTCCATGCATGGCCGCATAGCTGGGGTGGTGTCGATCCGAAGATGTGGCGACGCCGTTTCGGATCTCAACGAGGTCGGTGACCGACCGGTGGCCGACCTGCCCGAGGAACGCGTCGCCCGTGTCGCCCAGTGGTTTCCTCTTCCATCGGTGGAGATCGGACCCTTGGCGGACCATGGGCGCAGCGGCGGACCAAGCAGGAGAAGAGAGGAAAAGCCGAAAAAGGTGAGAAGTCCAGAGACCATTCAAACATTCGAGTGGGACAAATGTTCTGTCGGACACCTATTGAGGAAACCAGGATGGTTTTCACTTCGGAGTCAGATGTCTCCCGTCCGACTTCTGGGGTGTCGCAGATGTCCGACAGCGCCTCGGGACGGCCTTCGACGGTTCGAGGATTGATGGCCTTCCTTTTCACCCTGCTGGTTCGTGCGGGTGCCCTCGTGGGGCAGACCTCCGAGGAGCAAGCCAAGAGTGCCGTGGTGTGACCATGGGTGCGTTGGTTGGGGAAGAACGAAACACCGTCACGCATTGAACCAGTCACTTAGGGAATGATGTTTAGTTTAGTCCCATCCAGTGATTGGATACATTGGGCCCCACTGTCCAACATGGATAGCACCCCCTTTTCAACTAGAATGTTGGCCTTGTTTGTTGGCACAGCACCTTAGGACATGGGCTAGTGTATATCCCCGCACTCAGCACTTTAGTATTGGCATGCACCTTAGCTCTACTATACAATGCATTGGTGGCCAAGAAAACGATAACATGACTTCGGGACATTGCAATTGAATGCAATTGATACTTTTTTGACACTACCCCTCATGGGCTTTGTTCCTTGTTGCAGCGGCTTTTGTAGACTCACGGAAGACCAGTGGCCGTCCGCTGCCATGCTTGTTGCAGGGCAATGTCCGGGCTGGTTCCTGGTTAAATTGATGGAAATTGTGAATCGCTGCATATCATGGCCAGAATGTCAAGCGTCCCAAGATTTTAAGGAAAGCAGAACGATATTCACAACCTTCCACCCGGGGAG